CGGTCAGCTGCTCATACTTGCAACTGAATCTGATCTCCACAAAGGTCTAAAAATTCTCCACTGTCCAGTCCTCTACATCTGTTTTTTTATATTTGAGAGCCCCGCCTAATGTGCGGTTAAAACAAGTTTGTGATGTTTCACTGGTATCGCTGTTGTTTCACTGGTATCGTTCAATATTTTTTAAGAAAAAACTATTCACAGTCAGAAGGTGCATTGTGAACTTATAACAGATGACAGTGATAGTTATAAAAAATAAAAATATATATTAACCTACACTAAAGTTGGAAAGTCAGGCTGGAAAACCTCAGTCAGTACAACACTGCGTAATTTGTGACCCAAGTTTTACTCCAGAAAAATTAATGGCAATCCTCTGGACTTGGTTTCCGAGTTTGAAGACGTTTCGCTTTCCATCCAAGAAGCTTTTTCAATTCAAAATGTCAGGAATGGAGTTGAGTTCGAGGTTCTATACAGTTCTATCAAAGCCTTATTTTTGTTTTGAAAACATGCAAATCGGAACAGACGAAGGGGTTCACTCATTTGTAATGGTGGTCGTTTGGCTTCTTTTGCTAGACTGCAATACCCCATACCCATCTAAGTGTTGGGATGTAGTTCTCGTTAAGGCCTTTAAGTTGAATTTCTTAAAATTATAAGACCGCCTGAATGTATTTATTATCACTGACAAACCTGAGAGAAATATTTGCACCAGAAACTAGCCTAATGTGTATTAAAATAATTCAAATAAAAAGGTTTTATCAACTTGGTCATCTTGGAAAGGTTTAGAATGAATGAGATTTGACTTTAAGTAGGAGTTTTATTAAGATACTAAAACCTGCCGTCAACCAACCATTGATAAAATTGTTGTTGGAAAGATTTGAAGTCCATTAAAATTTTAAATTTAGTCTGCAGCTGACAAAAACTCAATTTCAATTTTAAATGAGGAAAATTAAATGTATATTATTGTTTAGTCATATTTTACAGTTAATAGATATCACATCTCAATCATAATGATCTTGAAGTGTATATTAAATAATATACACATCCAAAAGCAACCTAGACAAAATTTTGAAAATATAAACAAATGTACATAGGATATGTTTACAAATGGGATGCAGAATGGATAATGTATGTAATTGCAACTGATCGATCAAGTCAGCTGCAGTGTGGTTGTTTTGAGAACAATATTGCACACTAAAAAATATCAAAATGTAAAAATCAAAATGCTCAGTAGCACCATTAGACTGAGTTTATACATTTAAAAGCAAAAAGGGGAGTTCTGTGATAAGTTACTTTGATGTTGCCATCTGTTTATTTGCTGCTCAATTTAGTAGATGTTAGTGTTGAATATTAAAGTAAAACTTGGGGACAAAGCTGTTGTAAATATTTGTAATATTTTGATGCACACTGAAAGATAATCTATGAAGTTCTAAGTTAATATTTTAAAATATATGTATGTTTAAATAAGATGAAGCACACATTGATTCATATAGGCTTTCAGATCTAATATTTATGAGGGATGTCTTAATATTGATATTAAAAAATATATTAGTAATGAATATACATTTTGTGTCAGTTTTGGCCTTAGTTAAGAAACATGAAAGGTGTGAAGTAGGGCTGAGAAGTTACTTGCATTTGCAATATAATTGCAATTTAACAAAATGCAATTTTCAAAGTGCAGAGACCCTCAATTTGCTCACATCACATTTAACAGGAGTCAGATGCGAATATTTTCAATCCAACCCATTAAGTGGTGTCAAAACACTTAAAGCGGTTAGAGAGAGTTTTTTGAGGACACAGATTCACCGATGCAAATGGAAGTAAAAGTATTTCACACCAAGAATACAGTAAATTCCTGCAACAATGGACTCTGGACAAGTCTGCTTTTAAGTTAATTTTCATGCTTGAGGTTAGAGCAATATTGCAATAGTGGCAGCAAATAATCATAGCTTAGATTTTTGGCATAATCGTTCAGCCCTAGTGTGAAGAATTCTTTTTTGTTGTGTTTTTTTATTTTTTTTTATCAACTTCTCAAATATTTGTTTGTAAATTACAAGAAAATGCAAACAATTAATGTTTAAAGTATCAGGGTCAAACGACATGTAATATCTTCTCATAAATGTTTCTTTTTTGTCATCAAATTTTTGTCTGAGGATGATTATGGGCTGGAAAAAGTACCACAGCCATTTGAAAACCACTCCTCATTTATTATAAAGGTGGTAGCCCAAATTCTTTCTATCACAGCCATAGCTATATGGCCAATTTTCTTAATCATATGAATAGTTAATTATTGTTCTTTTTCTGGACTTAAATTGTTCTTTTCTGCAAAATTTAATAATGAAGCTGACTATGTGTATGTGAAATCACATTAGATGTAGGGCTGCAACTAACGATTATTTTGCTAATCGATTAATCCGTGGATTATTTTTACCATTAATTGATCAATAATCAGATGGCCAAAGGTTCCTTAAACAAGACTTCTTACAAAATTGAACCAGGTGAAACTAAAACTTTTCCACTTCAGTAGTTCTGGATAGAGCATATTTGTGCACAAATTTTTTTTTTTTTTTTTTGTATTATCTTAAATGCAAAATGTTTATTTATTGATTTATTTTTTTTTTTACAATGTTTGTATAATTACAGCTATAAGTGGGTTGCTCTGTCAGCTAAAGGCATTGTTTACAGTCCTTATACTCCAGGTAACGATTTAATTGATTATTAATTAGGTCATGATTTTTGATATTTTAATATTTTATGTATTGAAAGAAAAGTAATCTATACATATATATATATATATATATATATATATATATATATATATATATATATATATATATATATATATATGCACAAGAATATAACTGATGCACACAGTATATATTCTTGTGTGCATCAGTTAGAGGGGTCGAAGATCTGGAGGAATCCACATGTGGAAAGTTAAAATTTGAATCGGCTTTTAATTCTATATGGCAAAATTATTCCTCAGGTGCTTCTTTAAATTTATGTTACATGAATTATTTGAGAGGAACTTAACATGTTTAGATCTGACCTATCCTTCTTTAGAGTTTGCTGGAATTAAGTCCATTAAATCAGTCTTCTGTTCTCCAGCTGTATGACGACTCCATCTACTGGCTGATAGCAGAATTTAAAGTTGAGATACCTAATAGGTGGTATTTACCAAAATGACTTTGAGAATAGATGGAGTAAAGGTTTAAAACATGAGCTTAAGCATAAAATAAAGAAACAGAGCAGGAGATACCAAAGGTGTCCACAAATCCAAGCTTTCTTGTTAGGGATTGTGTTTCTGTAGCCGTCAATATTTGCAGGGGAGCTGCTTTAACTATGTTTCAAATGTCTTATTCGCATGCTGTACTTATGTTTCATCATGGTAGGACATGTAACTTAACTGATTCTAAACAATATTAGATCTTGTTGTTATTTACTTTATAAAATTTTTAGAAATTGTTCGAAGTTAAGTAATGATCCCTACTAAACACTAAAAAAGTGAACATATTTGGGGATAAAATGTTCATGACTGGAAAAAAAATCCTTTAAAACAGATTTTCTAAATTAAGGATCCAAACAGATAATTAACTTACCATTGATTGTTTTTAACAGTTTATGTGATAAAAATTTGTTTAATCTGATAAATCGATAACTGATGATTGCTTTTAAAAAATGTTTTTATGTTGTAATGTATCTGTTGTCCACTAAAAGGCGCCACTGTTCGTTCTTAGGCAGAGCAAGAAGTAAACGTCAGAGCAATGGAACGCGAAAGCAGAAACATAGGCCGTTCAATATGTGTGTTCTCATGTGCTCCTGTACTCGTGAAACATCATCATCCTCAGCCCTAGTACTGTTCCAATTCAAAAGAACGTCACAAGTATGTTTCTGTTCCAATTGACCCATATTTACGCTGCATGCTCCAGTTCTCCCCAAGTCCATATTTTTCTGTGTTTTTCTCAAGAACATACTTGGTGAGGACACGAGTCAGTACTCGCATTCAAGTGAATTGAGAAACGGCCATTAATTAAACAAGAGTTGGGTCTGGAATTCTTTACACCGCTTAATGCCGACGAGGATACAAAACAGACTCTTTACTTACAAACAAAACCACATAGACCCTGGGCAAACTCCCTAGTCATCACCTAACTAACGGCTATTGAGCAGCGTGATGTTTCTGCAGTGCTCAGGTAGTGACGATAGAAATGTGAAAGGCATCTAGCAAAACATGTGTAACATGATAGAAACATATTGCTCTCTCTTTCTCTATTTACATGGAAGAAAATGACTCTCACAATTTAAACCAAAAAAAAAAAACACTTGAACAAATCAAACAAAGTAAAACTATCAGTGGGCGGTGTATCTGTGTATCTCTAATAAGAACCTTCCATTTTAAAGCACTGCTGACTGCAAAAAGTCTTTCCCAACACTAAATACTATACCAAAAACAGAGTTATATCACCATTGGCGTCCGTGCCATTGAAACAAAGGAAATATTCTAACGGCGTCTCACATTTACAAGTCCTGTTATTAAAATAATGGCGTTTCATCTCTGCATTGGAAGTTCTGGGTTTTACATATTTTATTAATCTTATTTTAGTTTTACCTAGGGCGTCCAATTTTTTATGTCTTATAATTAAGTTTAATAATCTGTAACAATAAAATTCATTCATCATATTGGCTTGATTTGGTTCTTGCTTTCTATGAGCTTACCAGGCGATTTAAAAGAACACAACTCGATGCAAATGGTGGTGCAGCTTTGCTGTTGTCTTTTATCCTTTAATCACCCAACCATGAAAAAAAATATACAAAATACATCAGCATATTACACATAGATTATAATATGATTTAACCTTCCAGTGTAAACTACTGTTACATATAGGCAGATAATAACATTATTTTTTCCAATTTTCATCAGGTGGGGCTGCACCTTCCCATTATTGCCTAATTTGAGTGTCTTTGACTGCTGAAGACACTAAAAATATTTTCTTTCTTTTTTTCAGTTCTACAAGCATGTAGTCCAGAGTGTAGAGAAGTTCATTCAGAAGGTAAGTTCAGTCATCAGTTAGTTTAATACTCTAATGTTTAAAAATTAGACATTTTTGTAAAGGTCCATCCATCCATCTTCTTCCGCTTACCCGGGTCAGGTCGCGGGGGGTAGTAACTTCAGTAGGGAGGCCCAGACGTCCGTCTCCGCAGCCACTTGGGCCAGGCCCTCCGGGGCGCTCCCTTGAAATTTTATAATAAACTAATCTATAATAGATTGGCTTGTAATGTTTTAAATGCATTTTTTTAGTAAAGGGCAGTCTAGTCTTTTTGATGTTATGGGTCTATACCAGAGGTCAGAACCCTGTAAGCCATTTTTGCTATTGATTCAGCCTAACAAAATTTGCATGGAGCAGCCAAAGCTTCACAAAAACATAGAGAGAGCTTACTTTTTTAGAAGTCCACTGGTGAATGGTTACTTAAATTTTTAGATTAAAGAAAATCAGATTTTGACTCGTTTTTTGGTCATCAAATATCATCAAATATTTACTCAAATATTTACTCAAATATTTACTAAAAAATGGATTTTAATTTTATTTTAAAGGTATGGGTGTCAAAACAAGCACTGTTTGCAACCTAAACACAAATAAACTACTCCTTAAAGTATAACTAAAAACACTTTTATGGCAAACATTTGTTTATCTTCACATTTTTAAACAGCACTCATTTTTATTTATTATTGTAAATCAAAGTTATTAAAAGACAAAAAGGATCAAACGAGCCACTAACCGTCTGTAGAGGAGGTGTAGATGAGTTAAACATTAGAGTTTGGCTCTGGTGTGTATCTGTGTGTCTATGTTTTCCTTTAACTCTCAAGAGAATGAATAACATATTTTATTGTCGTCTTATTGAAATATTAAGTTTGTATTTTTCCCTACAGTGCAAACCAGAGTACAAGGTCCCTGGGCTTTATGTCATCGACTCCATTGTCAGACAGTCCCGCCACCAGTTTGGGACAGAGAAAGATGTTTTTGCCCCACGCTTCAGCAAGAACATCATTACAACGTTCCAGCACCTTTATCGCTGCCCCCCAGATGACAAGGTCAGTAGGTTTTAAATTGTGTTTCTGCTCCGTAGCTCTAATGCTCTTCCATTTCTCAGGTTAGTAATAATGGGACTAGACTTCCTGTTTAAAAAAAAATTAAGAAAATAAAATATTTCTGTCTATTTGAATTATTCAGGCATCTTACATTTAATCCAATAAATTTATTTAATTGCAGAAGTGAGCATTTTTTTAATCCAAAATGCTATTAGTGGAATATGATTACATTAGAAAAAAAAGTAGTATATTAACTTGGCCTAAAATTTAATGATTGGCTAGAAGAAATGTTCTACATCAGCTTTGAGGATCATCTGGAAAAAGCAGAAAAAGTTTTACCACGTCTTCAAAGGAATATTAGCATTTTCCTCTCCTCTATTTTCCAAAATATCCTCTCTATCAATTTGTTGATGTGTTGTCCTCCTTGGTTGGAACTTAAGCTACATGGACGAGACTCTAATGTTCAGCAGCCATTTTTCATCAAATGTGAATAGTCAGGAGTAAAACTTTCCACCTTAAGAGCAAAAATAAATTTGCGGGGTATGTTAGGAGCTTCAGCATGCTCAATGGATTCTAAGTGGGGATAAAATGTAACACAATAACATATAATAATATAATACTGCACCTAAGTTGTTTTGTCACAGTTGATCATGTAAACTGCTTTTTGTGTTTTCAGAGCAAGATAGTGCGCGTTCTGAATCTGTGGCAGAAAAATGCGGTGTTTAAGAGCGACATCGTCCAGCCTCTGCTGGACATGGCTGCAGGGATTCCTCCTCCCAGTGCTACTCCTGTCCTGCCCAGCAGTGCTGCACCGATCAATAACACTACACCCGGTTAGTGAGGCTACACACAAATAGAGTGAAACAGACATCAGATAACTTTTGACACCGAGATTTCCGCTTCTGTTGTCCATTCAGGAACCCCAGCTACACCCGCCACTCCAGCAAATATAGTCCAGGGTCTGCCTGACTGGGCCTCCCAGATCACAAACACTGATACTGTCGCTGCTGTTGCACAAATACTGCAGAGTCCCCAGGGACAACAGGTAGGTGGATTTAGTCTACCTGCTTTCAGTAAAGTAGGGTTCCTGTAAAGGTCTGGAATTTGACTTAACCCTGTAAAACCCAAATATAGAAAGACACTAAAAAAATTTTTTTAAACCACTTAGATGTTGTTGTAGGAGGCCTTTGAGGCTGAAAATGAAGTGTTTTCAAAAATTTTATGTTTTAGAAATTTTTTACAGAAATGTTGTAATATTGCAACATTGGGCCAAATGGGGAGCAGAATTTCCTGTATGTGTACTCATTGTCTGAACAACAATATAGGACTACGGATTAATTTGCAGGGTTTTGCTTTTATCCCAGAACAGTATAACATGAAAAATACCTTCAGTCATGTTGTTATGAACAGTTTGTTTTTATTTATTCCAGCAAAGAGAACTTTTTATTTACAATGATAGTCCCAAAAACAGTTCCTTTCCTCTGAAAAACAGAGGCGAACATCGCACTTGCAGCAATGGGTATTCGTATACCCTTTACTGCAATGTCTGCAGCGTCCTCTCTTGACCTTCATGGGGAAATGTCCATCTGATTTGAAAAGAGAAGAATCAATATTAATATTAATAATCAATTCATGCACGTGTCAAAAATGCATGCAGATATCGCAAAACATGGCAAATAGCAGAAATAGATTCTTACCAGGATGAGAGAGGATGCTAGCTGTGCCTGGAACTTTCTCATGTTTAGCATCTCCTTCTTTGGCATTGCGAGAGCCTGACAGTGCCGTTTGTAGAGGAGCCAGGCGTTGACCACGGCGAGGGTGATGGTGTGCCAGAAGATGTACATGTACCATCGGCGGGATTTCAGGGTGATCTTGTATTTTGCTGTAAATGAGTCCAACAAATCCACACCTCCCATGTATTTGTTGTAGGTAGCCACAATGTAAGGTCTTTCAACGTCAATGTAGGTTTTGGTGGCTTTGTCCCAGCGCTGAATCTCCTGCACAGGTTCTGGTCCAGTGAAGGATGACACAAGTGTGACTGCCCTGTTTTCATACCATTTCACAGCGCAGATGTTGTGTGTCCCCTCCACTCTGTGGTCAAAGCTTCCTCTACCCTTCTTCTTCAAGCTCTTCTCATCTTCAAGGTTGCAGTTAGGGAGCCGCACCTGCCTGGCTGTACCCACATAATGAATTCCATGCTCAAGGAGCTTCACTACCAGTGGAACAGAGGTGAAGTAGTTGTCTGCATAGATCTTGTAGTTCTGACCCTTAGGAAGTGTGGAGGCAAGCTTCAATACAACATCACCTGACAATCCAAGTTCAGATTTGACGCGTTTTCCATTCTTGCTGCCCTGGTAAACATCGAAGTCAAGCATCATGCCAGAGATTCCAGCTCTCACCCATACTTTGAACCCCCATGGATGTGGCTTGCCTCGCATATACTGCTTGATGCTGCTGAACTTCCCCTTGAAAGGAATCATCATTTCATCCACAGAATTGTGCTCTTCTGGTACCACCTGCAGGCATTTCTCCCTGAATGATTCAAGCCATGGTCTGAGTTTCCAGAGTTTGTCCCTCTTTTCAATCTCTGACACTGTCAAATTGTTGACAAAATGTAATTTTGTCAACAGAGATTGGAATCTGTTGCGTGGCATCACATCAGCAATAGGGGGGTGCCGTGTATCTGTCTCCCAGTACATACGGCTTCCAGACATTTGTACCAAGCCCATCCTCAGGTACATGCCCAACATTTTCTGTATTTCCTTTGTATTAGTGTTAACATATCTTCCATCATTTTGAATGCTGTACTCATTTGTACTTGTAGCCAGAGCTTGAATCATGTCCTCTGACACAAACTTTTGGAAGTATTGGAGTGGTGTGTGGAGGAAGGTTACATCGTCTGTGACAGGTGGACCAGAAAAATCAGTATTGGGACTGATAAAATCCTTTTTTTGCCAGCGATATCTGTCACGGGGCATGATGCGTTCATTTTCTTGGGGCTCAATGTCCACATTGGCTGGGCAGTCAGACGGCTCTTGGTTTTCTTTGTCCACACAGGGATCATTGTCTGACTCCTCATCACTTGCATCAGTGTCATCAAGGGGTACGTCCACATCACTCTCTCCATCTTGGATGATTGCAATGATATCCTGCACACTGTACCGAGGATCTTTCCTGGCTGCTGGCATTCTGAAATGGAAAAGATAAAATTTAAACTAATGTATATATAAATAGTACACATACTTAGATTCTAGATAACCTGCAGGAAAAGACTGGGTGGTGGAGAGATTGATGTTAATTTGAAGTGTTTACACATTGCCCTGAAGTAACCCATTCACACATTTCACTTGTCACACAATACTGTGTGGCCGACCAATTCTAAACTCTGATTATCATCAAAATAGGAATCCAAGTAGCCTCCAACTTACAGCCACACCTTACATTCCTGAACATCAACCCCTGTTCCAGAGCAATGTAATGCAAAGGCCCCTCCAAGCATCCCCACACCTGCTTTGACTATGAATTGATTGGAACATTACCTTATCAATAGCCAAGACAAAGGGCAGACATGCACAACATGGCTGTTGTGTTGTAGACATGTTAGAAAGCCCTACCTTCTGTGATAAGGGAAAAATACTAAGTGTTGAAGGTGGTTAGAAATCCTTATAAGTAAATTAAAATGATTAGATATGGCAATATATCTTAGTATATTAGCTTCTAACACAATAATACATATAATTCAATATAAGGCAAAGGGCTAGACTGTGTAAATTATGTGTGGTTCAAAGTTATATTGGGAAAACTTCCTCTCAAGACATTCCTCTCAAAAACAGGGTTGTTTTGACTACCACATTCACCCAATGTTGTAATATTGCAACAATTACAAAACAAGCTCTAGATAAAGTGTAGGGCACATTTTCCACAATAACTACATATTTACATGTTGTAGACACTGTAATAAACACAGAAAAAAATATGCAAAGCTTTTTACTTACTTCAATTAGATAAATCCAGTCCAGTAAATCGAGGGGATGATGCTCAAGCAAAAATCTGGAGGTTGTGTGACTTCTTCACCTGAGGGTAGGCCTTGTATACAAATGTAGGACCCAATAGCATTGTGAGATGAAACAACATGACTCAATGAGTATGTTAATGCAGTTGAACCAAAAAAAAAAAAAAAAAAAAGGTTTATTTTGGGAGGACAAAAAATGTTGTAATTCGGCAACAGTGGGTCTTACAGGGTTAAGTAATTATCTGATTGGGATAAAAGTGGTAAAATACACAGAAAAAAAAACATCCATCATAGATATTTCTAATGCTAGATAATATGTTTCGATGTGTCACAATGTTGTGTTTTAATCTGCTGCAGCTTCAGCAGCTGGTCCAGAGTCTGCAGATGCAGCAGCAGAAGCCCCAGCCATCACTGCTGCAGGCCTTGGATGCTGGCCTGGTGGTACAATTACAAGCTCTAACAGCTCAGCTAACTGCTGCCACAGCCAACAGCCTCAACCCTCTTGAGCAAAGGGTCTCCTCTTTTAATAAGGTAACACTGCGCACATCGACTGTCTGTTATTAAGCTTTGCCAGTTATACTAATGGGACTCATTCATTTTGTTGCAGAAACTGTTGGGTTCTTTTGACTTTGGAAACAATTCAGAACGCAGTGAGGAATCTAAAAAGGACTCATCTTCTCAGCTGTAAGTTCAGAATGATTAATTATTCTGTTTTTCTGTAGCTGAAAAGGTGTTGCACATTTTTTTTAGTTGCATGTTTAGTCTCTGTTATAAATCAGCTGCTAAACATTTCCAGGCCAATGGTTTCTGAATCCATGAACAGCTCACTCTTCCATCAACTGGCTGAACAACTCCAACAACAAAACCTGGAGCAGTTTCAGAAGCAGCTGCTGGAGCATCAACAGAAGGTGAGAAACCACCCTTCTCTTGAAATCTAGGAATTTAACGAATCAAAAGAAATAATTAAAAGTTGATTTATTTTTGTGAAGTTCTTTAACCAAAAGGTAAGCTCTCCTACACGAATTGTACACAGTGATATATTTTTAGTTTTTATTTTTAAATTCTTTCTTATGGCAAATAAAACCCCTAATTTGTTTTATAATTATTCAAATATTACGTAAAGCAGTTATACAGATATATGTGAAGGTGTTCGATTTCAAAGGGAAGATGGCCGACTTTATAACTGTCAATCATTAACAACCTCCTGAAGAGGGTACGCTACAGAACTCTACTGCTGGAGAAAGCTGCAGGCTGTTCACATTGGTTCAAACACAGAAAGTTAAGTGTAAGGAGAAACTGCTCAAAAATTTGCAGTTGATCATGAAGCAAAACCTTTTGAAAAACATTTAAATTTGTCTGATGGAGGGGCTGCAGGTGGCACAGTGGTTAGCGTGCACGACCCATCTTAGGAGGCCTTAGTCCTCGACGCGGCAGATCTTGGTTCGAATCCGACCTGTGGTCCTTTGCCGCATGTCTCTCCCCCTCTCTCATACCCCCTTTCCTTTCAGCCTACTGTCAGAAAAAAAACGCGCCACTAGTGCCGTAAAACAAAACAAAAAAATAAAATAAATACATTTGTTTGATAGAGCGAAATAAATGGCTGCATCAGTTACAGCAAGTTCTCTCTTTCTTGATCATGTTTTAAGACAAAAGAAAAACTAAAATCTTTGAAAGATGAAACTCTTTTTCACATCACTTTATTTAAGCTTCACCTTTTCAGTCTATTTAGACACTGCGTTTACATCTTGAAGCTTTTATCTCTCCGGCTCTGTTTCATGTAAAGGGATCATTCAGTACTTAATCTTTAAATAACACTTCATAACTTATATGTATTAAATAACCATGAGACAGGAGAACAGATTTTGATATAAATTGTAATCTTACTCAGATCAGAGAAGTTGCTTAGAGCTACAGAAAGCAGATGCTCACTTCTCGGGAAGTGGTCCCGATTAATAGTAAAAGAGTCATTTTATACAATTCTGGTCTGCCACATCATCACATTTTACACCCACTTCCTTACATCATCCACGTTAGCAGATGAGTAGACATCCATGGCTCCTGCCTTATAAAAATATTACAAGAACACCGCTCTCATTCCATATTTCCTTCGTACAGAATGAAGATTATAACTGTATATCCGAACAGAGGAACTTTCTTAATTAGATTAACTATTGGGGAAAACATTGGTTTTGACACGCAAAAGGTAGCCATTATTAATGTGGAATAAACTCACACATCACTGATAAATATCCTAACCATTAACATTCTGTCGTTCTAATTTCAGGCTCACATGTAAAAAACGATTTAGCAGAGAAATTGTTCATTTCTGTTCTAACTGTTCAAGTTTTAAAAATACTAATGCTGTTTTTTCCTCCAGGCCATGAGCATAGAGGGGCAGGAATCCATGTATGGGCAGGAGAACTCTGTGGCGACGGCTCAGACCAGCGCTCAGCAACACCTTCCTGAGCCAGAGAATAAGATGGATGACTCCATGGACAACCAACAGCAGGTATTTGCTGGAGTGGCAACATTTGATCTATTCCTTTTTTCTACTTTGTGTTGTAATTTAACCAGTTAAAAAGACATATTTTTTGTTTATGCCAGATAATTAATATACTACTTTAATTTTAAATATTGATCAATTTTCTAAGGATATGGATCTAGATGATGGTCCTGAGGGAATGGAGGAGGAGCTGTTTGAAGCAGACGAGAAGAAGACCTTAAGCACACGTTCCAGAACACGGTCTAGGTCACGCTCCAGGTCAGTCCACTCGTTTGATTTTAGCCTTGTTCAAAGGCTGAAACTACTACTTTTCAGTTACTTAGTTACTGAGAGTAATAATATACAGACTGCTGAAAGAATAACTTCCAGCAATAATTAAGACAGAGCTCTGCAAAAAATGTGAACATTTTCTAGATAAAAACAGATCAAATTAAAATAGATAGTAGATAAAAAAAAAAGGTTTAGAGTTAATTGTCAGGGTTATTGCATAGGAGTGGAAAATAACTGCAAATTATTGATAATGAGGGTCAATGGTGTGGACTTTTAGCAATAGAGTATGTGCGTGTAAAAACATATGTGTGTACTGTATATATACATTTGAATAATACATTTTCTAATTTTTCTTTGTTAATTACTTTATTTTTTTATATATGTATATAAAAAAAAGAATTGATGGACATTTTTAAAAGCTAATGAGGAGCCTAACACATCTTATAGACCAAGAGAGGAACGGCCCTTCAGGGTTGTGAAAATGTCTAAAGTTATTTAAAGCTTCTTAAATGTGTCTTTAATGCCTCTGTAAATTGTTAATTTAACATTGGAGAAATAATTTTCTAATACTTTTTTTCCTGCCTTCTCCTAGATCTCCCAAACGTAGGAGATCCAGGTCCCGCTCCGGCTCCCGGAAACGTAAACATCGCAAGCGCTCACGCTCCCGATCCAGAGATCGAAAGAGGAAGTCATCTCGGTCTTACTCCAGTGAAAGACGCGCCCGGGAACGAGAGAAGGAACGGCAGAAAAAAGGGTTACCACCCATACGGTCCAAGACTCTTAGTGGTAAGTATGAGCATCTATAGGTTGGTTCTCAGTTCTGTGGTTATGTTTTTCATACAGGCTGATCTTAATTTTTTTGTGCGTAGTGTGCAGCACTACACTGTGGGTGGGACAGGTGGATAAAAAGGCCACACAGCAAGATCTCACCAATCTGTTTGAAGAGTTTGGCCAAATTGAGTCCATCAATGTAAGTAGACCTCTTTTCTAGCCTGATAAACCAGACAAAATGTGAGATTAAATGTGTAATTTAATCTGGCCCCGATGAATGAGACATCGGAAGATTGTTGATGAGAACAACCCGTTGTTTTTCAAACTATGTCTGTGCCTATTAGCCAACGCTTTGACCAATGAACGCAACTGACTGACATAGTAAGAGCGACAGAAAGCTGGTGGGGGAGTGTAAACAAACAGCCTGTTGATAAAATGGCAAATTTGTCCTTCTTAAAAACGAATGAGCGTAGAGCCTCTTCCTGCTCCTGTTTTAACGGAAACCCCAAGTCTTAATTTCTTCCAAAACTGATTCCAAAGCTAAGTCAAACGAGAACTGTTCAATAGTTGTTGCGCAGCTTTGTTGTTCCGCCCTCAAAACCCCGCCCACTTTGCATCCAGACATTTAAAACACATCTCTGCGTTGTGATTGGCCCGCCAGTTCTAGGGCCTGGGGTATTGATCGAGGCTAGACCAAACTCGCAGGTAAAAATTATTCTGGCCGCTGTCCGGTAGGGCTAGTTTACTAGGCAGCCTCTTTTCCATTATTATTGGGTCATTATTTCAGTCTGTTCTTTCAGGCCCAAAATGTACCTAGTAAAATGAATTCCAATGTGTTCACACTATTGTTTTATGCTTAAACATATGAATATTTTTTTCCACTAATTACACAAGTCTTATTTGCACGACTTTTCACCTATTTATAGAGTTTCTTTAGGATCTGTGAAAATCAGTTAAAATATATAAAATTTGTGTTTTAAAGTCTTCCTTTTTATTAAATTACATCTGCTTAGTTATAATTAATGCAGGACTCTATATCTCTGCTTCTGTCTCCTTGAACCCCAGGCGGCCTCGGCAGATGGCCGCTCACACTGAGCCTGGTTCTGCTCGAGGTTGTTTTCTGTTAAAAGGGAGTTTTTCCTCTCCACTGTCACTAAAAGCATGCTTAGTGTGAGGGATTGCCTTCGAATCAATGAGTTGATGCAATCAGCTGGTTTTCCTTACATAGAAAAAGTGGAATCAATTTGACTCTATGATCTGGTTGAATTGTAAAGTGCCTTCAGGTGACAATAAACTGAATTGAATTGACACATCCATCATTCAAAGTTGAAGTTACAGTGCATGTGACATATTGTGTCTTCAGATGATCCCTCCACGCGGATGCGCCTACATCTGTATGGTTCACAGACAGGATGCGTACCGCGCCCTTCAGAAACTCAGCACTGGCTCCTTCAAGATCGGCTCCAAGATCATCAAGGTTCCATTTGGTTTATAATTTGATTTGATGTGTACTCAATATCTTTAATGTTTTTCTAATCTAATCTCACCATTGACCTCCTGTGATGACAGCATACATTTCTATGCAGCTGCGTCTCTTCATGCTGAAAGAAAATTGTTTGCCAAAGGTTGTATTGACCTTTTTTTTGCATCCTTGTCCTTCAGATTGCGTGGGCTCTGAACAAAGGTGTAAAGCAAGAGTACAAGCAGTTTTGGGATGCAGACTTGGGCGTCACCTACATACCATGGGAGAAGGTCAAGCTGGATGACCTTGATGACTTTCCTGAAGGGGGAATAATTGATCAAGAAACTGTCAATGATGGTAAAAAACACCTTCTTAAGCGACACTAAGATTTTTAATTTAAAAGCAGCATCAGGCCAATACACTTTAATGAGCATAGCGACCCTGGAAACTGTTTTTCAAAACACATTAACCTCATTTGCGTGTTTCAAAAAAAGAAAATTAAACAGTCAACTGGACTTTGTTTCCAAGTTTGAAGATGTTTTGCTTCCCACCCAGGAAGCTTTTTAGCTTTTAAGTTAGAAAAGCATTGCAAAAAAAAATGTGAAGCCAGAAATTAAAGCAGTGTTTCTGGGTCACTCTGAGGGAGACGGTTGTGAAACTTGTCTGTTGAGTCATTTGTTTTTGTTTGTTTTCCAGAGTGGGAATCCACCAAGACTTCTGAACTATCCAAGGAAGGAACAAGTCAGGTGGTTAGCAGTGAGGCCACAGTGGTATCTAATGCCCAAACCGAGACCTACAACCAGCAGGTTACTATGATGCCTGTACAGGTAATAAAAGTTGTTTTATCCTATTTTCTCTTTCTTCCAAACATACTAGTAGTTTTGTGTGTCAAATGTGTACCATGTAATCTAGCTCTTCTGTTGACTATAAAATCTAATCTTTCATTTAGCTACCAGTGGCCCAAGCGGTTCCTGGTGCCATGGGTTTGGTGCCTCCTACGTTTCCGGTCACGATGAGCATACCTCCTCCAGGCTACGGACCACCGCCACCATTTTTAAGACCCAGCTTCAATGCCTCTCATCCCCCACCAGGTAACTATCCAAACCTAAAACGTAAAATTTTACCTGAATCATCCAGAAAGTCGCACTAACAGTTTTATTTTCCTTGCTATAGGGTATTTGCAGGCTCCACATACAGCGGGGATGGCCTCCGTTACTACATGTGAGTCGTTTGCTCCGAGTTTAGCTTACTTTCTTTCTTTTCCATCTAAAATGACTCATGGGATTCTTTTCCATTTTGAAATAATTGTTTTGTTATTGTTGATAATATATAGCTCTAGTGCAGCCTTCTGTGGCCTCCAACCAAGATGGTGTGATGCCTCCAACTAGCACCATCCCTGGCAGCTTCCTGCCCTCAGGAATACCAGGAAGTGGTGTTTTTAACCCTGTGGGAGTCCAAACTCAGCAGGCCAACAGTGAGAAAATTCCCCCGCCTGCAGAGGGAATGGACGCGGCAGCAGAGCTCACACTACAAGGTGAGATAATAGCAAGGTGTAGTCGGATAATAGAAACAATATATTCTAATTTTTGTAGAAATTGTTATGATTTGTATTCTTCTTTAATATATTGTAGTAGAAACGCCCATATCAGAGGCTATGTTCACCTGTATCTGATCTTTTCATGACAGTATAAACAACACATCCAATTTTTTTTCCAGTGTGACCCAGGCCACTTGGCTTTGTGGTCCTAGATCCAATACGAATCTGATATTTTCAAATGCAACATGTGTTTGAACGGTCGGGTCGCATTCGTCGGACCTGAAAGCCATTAGTAGCCGACAAAGGCCACTATTCTGCGTCTTACTACACAGAAGTGGCAAGAAAAACAACAACCATGGCGGACGATGATGCAGGGAGCAGTATTTATGTTTAACCATATAGAAAATATTGTGTTTTTAAGGTTGGGAAAGATTGCTAGATACTCTCCGGCAAAACCATCCATGTTTACTTCCGTAAACACATACAAGTTGCATATATTTGGAAATGTGAACAGCAATGCAAAAAAATCGTATAACACAAAAAAAAATCTGAATTGAGCATTAAGGCCTGCAGTGTGAACATAGCCAGAGATCAGAATCTGCAGATGTTTACTTCATTTTGATCAGCATTTGGCAGGCTACATGCTGAACAAATAGGCTTGATTAAACAGCGCACACTTTGATGAACAGACATGCTTTCATTAAACATAAATCAGGTAGATGTTAGCGACTTAAGCTTAGCCGGGTCATGATAACTACTTTTGCTGGAGGACAATTTGTTCCAGAAGTTATTGTTATAAATTATAATATTGTCATTGGGTTTGAATCCAAACTTTTCCCACGTTGCAGATTTCATGTTCCGCTCTGAAACAGTTACATGTTTGGTTTTTCAAATCTGAACCAGCATTTATCTGGCCTGTTATGGCTCAGTCACAAGTTCCTCATGGTACATGCTCTATGCTAAAGAAAGGAAGATTGGAAGGGCTAGTCAAGACTGATGCAGCGGAGTAAAAACTTTTTTGTCATCTAGGCTCTGTAGTAGAAAGAGAAATACTAAAGGAAAATAGCCAAGCAAGCAAATAGGAATTATTGAGCTGGTTTAAATGTATTGACTAATTAATTGATTTTCTGCTTTATGTGTTGCTCTGCTTATTACTCATTTTAGATGTGATCCTCAGAAGTTATAACAATTCTTTTTTTTTATCTTTGTTGCCAGGCATGCAGAACGCGGTCCGCAGTGGAATGGGTCTCCTTGGAATGCATCCCTCAGCTTCACTACCCCATCCACTGCATCAAACAGGTCTGAGTGCACCAAGGATGCCGGGTTTGTTGCCCATGGATGTACGACCCAACCTCCTTCAGCCTGGGGCTGCCGCCCGTTTCCCCCTCCTCATGCAGCAGGGCCCTCCTCAGCAGCCCACTGGCCTCCTTGATAACTCCCTTCATCCCCGTCCCAGGCCCCCCTTCCCTCAGATGGACCCGTTTAACAGAGCCCCCAACCTCTCCAATGAAAATGTCTCCAAAACTGAAGATGAGTCCTCCTCTGGTGCTGATGAGGGCAAAGATCAAGACTACCGCTTCCCTCCTATGGAAAAGCCCAGCACAGGCCTTCTGCCTACCCCTCCGCCAGAGCATAGGGAGCCACTTGGAGTAGGTGGGGGGGCTCCAGGAGGAGGAAGACCTCCATTACTCCAAACCCCCGGAGCTCAACCTCAAAGATCCAGCTTAGCGGGCCGTTTGCAGGCGCTGGCAGGATTTACTCCTGATAACCGCTGGAACCAAAGCAAAGGGGACTTTGACGAGCGAGATGGCATGCGTGGAGGACCGCAGCCCCCAGGCGGTCCGAAACGCTTTCAGGATGAGCGCCCCCCACCCGGGCAGAACTTCCCTAACCGCTTTGATAACCGTCCGACGGGTCCAAACAGCGGTCCTGTTGGGGGCCCCCAACCCTGGAACCGCGGAGGCGGACCCAAACCTCCTTTCAATAGTGAAAATCATAAAGATCTAGATGACCGAAGACGTCCGTGGGAGAGACAGAGAGACAGGGATGAACGAGATTTCGACTTCAGGAGAGACATGAACGGTAATCGCCACAACCGCGAGAGAGAGCGGGAAAGGGAGCGGGATAGAGAGCGGGAACGAGGCCGAGAAGCCCCCAGGGAGTCCGAACGTGACAGAGACCATGACAAGGAGAAAGAACGTGGAGGCTGGACGCCTCTTCTGCCGCTACCTGCACCACTTCTTCCTACTCCTCCTCTGAATCCCAATAGGGTGCTTAACCAAGGGAAACCTCTTGCTACTCTTAAATTAAACCCCCAGTTTCCAGCAGTTTTCCAGCCATCTCCTTTGCCCCAAGGTCAGAACAAACCTCCTCTTCTGAGGAGTCCGCCGACCCCCCAGGTTCAGATCAGGTCTCCTCCTCCGTCACAGAACCAGCCGCCTGATTCTGAGACCCACGGGGAAGCTCCTGCTGAAACACCTCAGGCAAAGTCGCCCCCTTCTGCCGGCTCACACCAACAGTCACCTGACAGCAAGACTGCAAACACATTACCAGAACCCCCTGCTCAGTCAGAAACCCCCCCACCAATGCAGTCACCACCTGAGTCCGTCGCCCAGGTGACCACAGAGACCGCTGCATCCCCAGACACTAAGAGGCAACACGACGACTCACCTGTGGGCTTCTCACAGGCTGATGACGAGCCACGAGAGGATAAGGAGGAGGGGCCAGAAAGGGTCCCCACACCTGAACCCCAGTGGGCGAATGGACCAGATCAGGACAGTGTCAATGTGACTGAGCCCACCCCAGAGGCCTCCCCAGAGCCCAGGTCCATCCCAGGCTCTGCCCAGCCTGAAAGTGAAACGGAGCCACGGCATGAGCGCCTGTCGTCTCCTAAGGACCCAAACAATGAACAGAGTGAGCCCCAGGAGGACGCTCCGAGTCAGCCAGTGGTAGACACTGTCACAGACACTGAGGGGACATAATCATCACTCAGTAGGTAAAAGATCATTTTGTAAAGTTGTCTCTTCTTCTCTGTACTCATGTCAGCAAACTACCACCACAGCACGGGACATGACGAATATTGACTCACACCAGTTGTTGTCTGATAAGCAACAACACAAGATTTTATCTCTGACAAATACCAGTGCACTTATATAGACGGCTTATCAGGTGATTTATGGCTAGATTATTGTTTTTGGTTTTTTTGTATTTTATTTCCTTCTTCAGTTGTAAAACCATGCCACACTTTTAATGGTAAGTTTTATCGAATTGTCTGCCAAAATGTTTCACAATTGTATTTTGGAAATTTAGCTTCCTATGGAAGACAGTGGGACGTCCTGGTTGTTCAACAATTCATTTACTGCAGAATATGAGATACTTGAAAACAGCAGCTGTGTCACTACCCGATCCGTAGAACTGATCCGTACCGGAAGAACTGATCCGTACTGGGAAGAACTGATCCATACCAGAAGAACTGATCTGCACGATCGCCTCATTTGCTCATGTGCAAACAGATATCCACCCAGGTCGCCATAAATAATGTCATTATGGTACTAAAAGTATTTATTTTTATCCTTCAATCAATAAATAATGCTACACTGCATTTCTAAAGAATTATCTGGCGACTTTAATGAGAGAATTTGATGCTTTTTGAATTTTAGTTAAACTGCTTGTCTGACAGCATCATGGTACAGGCTCCGAGCAGTTCAGCAAAATATGATTAAACCGCATTTATCTGCATTTAGTTGTGTCCTTCTTAAGATTGCGCACTATATACCATAAGGTTAACATGAAATGACAACACAGAACTCAAAAAGACAAGATTTATGTTTAAATCCTTTAACATATTATAGCTTAGTACGCTTACTACTTTTAAGGAGGAAAAAAATGTAATTTAGGTATTATTTTATACTTAAATCAAGGTGACCTAAAAATCAACACTGGAAAATCGATCTAGAAATGGTGTTAAAATTCTAATTAAGCGTATTTTGCCTTAAGTTGAGTTGGTAAAAAAGATGGTTTGCCAATGGAATGAGTATTTTTACTCTTAATTAGATAATATGCACTTGAAATAAGACAATGCAATTGTGTTTTCTTATTTTAAGTGTAAATTGTCTTGTTTCATTGGCAAAATGTCTCTTTTACCTCCTCAGTTCAAGAGCAAATGCACTTATTTTGAGAAAAAATTACCTATCTAGATTTCTATTTTTTTCCAGTGTGGTTGTGCAAATGGGTTGATCCGGTTCGGATCAGTTCTTCTGATATGGATCAGTTCTTTCGATATGGATCAGTTCTTCCGGTACGGATCGGATAGTGACAGGCTGCTCAACCAATCTGTCTCCTCTGTTAAATGCTGAGAAGTTCTACAAATTAATGCTTTTATCCTGTTGATGAAGACTTCCTGCCTACATAAAATCAAAGCCTAACAGCTGCTTTTAATTTTTTTCTTTGAATTAAAAAAAAAATTTGTTTTATCTCCTAAATTTGACAACAGTGTGTAATTTGTTTCTAATGATCCAGTCACAACAGAAATACTAGTTGGGAGGAAAAGAAAATAAACAGAGCCATGTTCAGATGTTGGGGTGCATATTGTTTTAGTTTGAAATAAACCTGCTTTTTCTGTTTGAAAACACGTGCTTTAGGACTGTTTCTGAACCAGGACCGGTGGAAGAATATGACTGCTTTGCTTTTCAGACTCGTACACACTGTGTGCTGTGACTTCAGTCGATTTGATGAACTCAAGTTGCTGCTATACCATCCATCCACAGAGCGCTTTGTTGGATGCAACCGTGGGACTTTTAGAGTTTAGCTTCTGATGACTTCAGCCTATATGTTTGCCTAAGCTTTTGCTGGGTGACTGTTGATGATGGCTTTGTGCCTTTTTGAATGGATTTGTCATTCCTGATGCGACCCGACGCCTCTGTGTGATGTACACCGGTCTGTGTGCGCAGCTCTGTTTCAGAGGGCTCTCTGAAAAGAACGCCCACCAGCACAGACCTGACTTACCTGCCGATTGAATGCTAGCTGCACAGACTGTACAGCACTCACCTGTGCATGCAGGCCTCCTGTAGCCATCTTTAACCCTCCTGTCTCTCTATCGTTTCATACTTGTAGTGCTTTTCTGTTGAAACATACTACCAGAAATCTATAGTCTGCTGTTCCTCTCAGACGAAATGTCTACTACAGGAGTTGTGATGTTAAATAAAAATTGAAGGTGCATCAGATTTGTTAATCCTGTTATTGTCATATCTTCCAGTTAAAGCGGATCAGATGAACCATTTCACGAACAACACCCAGTGTTTAGCATCAAGGAATAAAAACTAAACTTCAAAGGAAACTTAGATCTAGTATAGTTTATGTATTTAGGTACATACTGTAAAAATTCCTAAGCTTCTTAAATCTTCTTTTAAAAAATGTATGGATTGTGGTTGTCAGATTAATTTACTCACTTCTAACTTAAAAAATTAAGATGGGGGGAAAAAATTAAATTAAGAAACAGATTACGCATGGGCATGATATAAGGTTTTAAATCTGGTTAATGAGTGCAGACACATGCTGGTGTCCTGCTTGTTTCAGTTGAATTAATATTTGAAATACCACCTAGGTAGGTCATCAAGTTCTACAGATAGATCTCAAACATACAGGACAGTGACTCTAGAGGCAAAGTAGAACATAGTTATGCCCCTTCCTTACCTGTTGTTGATGGAAGACTACAAAACATCTCTCTCTCTCTCAAGTAAGGCAAATTAAGCTGTTAGGAAATCAACCAGTAGGTGAAAACATAAAAGTTCATAGTGTGAAACTTGATGGAGGATCAGGAACGTTCTACTATTCAGTTATTGACATCAAAGTTTACAAAAATATTTAAAGGTTTAAAATGACTGAAGATCTCACTTTTATCATTCTTATGGTTTAAAGACCTTCTAAGTGAAGTACCAAGGATGATTTAGCTAAATGATTCCCTCTTTGTAGCAGAATTGCTCCACAATAACTTTACTTCAGTTTCATCACACTAAACAGTTCCTCTTTCCAATTACATCCTTAAAAGTCAAATCAAAGTCCGGGTTTTCCTTACACATCAGTTGTGTATCTAGGTGAAAAAAATTTTTATTTGCTTCGTCAAAACTGTTTTATAAAGTTCCATCACAGGTCCCAAAATACTCAAAAGAATAATTGTTTAGTAAAATCATGTTCAACTTTTATTAATCCACGTCTTGTCGATTATGAAAACCAGCTGATTTAAGCTAGTTAACGTATGGGGAAAAGAGGGAAAAATAACCTTGAACAAATGAAATGGAGATTTAGCTTCATGTTTAATTATTTCTGCACCATATAGACCAGATAACCCAAGTTTTGTTCTCAAACTTCCATTTTTAATAAAACATTCAAATTTCTGCAAAGTCAAGAAATGTATTACATTTGAAAACTTAAATCTGCAAGAACCCCAAGTTTTGCTCACTCCTATGGATTTCTGTTGCTCACAAGAAAAAAAAAACAGCTCCCAATTACTGTTTTTAAGGTTATCTTTTACTACAGTTTACAATAAAGGATCAGGAACTGATTACAATTCCAAAGCTAAGAATTTTCAGCACTAATATTTAATGAGAAATAAAAAAAAAAAAAGAAAAAAGCAAATATTCTGATGATATTTACTAAAAACATTGGTAAATAAGCAAGGTGTTTATCCTTTTCTCGATTCTTCCAGTTGTCAATCTCTAAATGAATACCTTACCGAAGAAACATTGGTAAATCATTAGTATTTGAAATGCTGATTTTAAAGACTGCCAACATGGTTTTTCCTCACTCCACGTGTGTCCATCAGAATCATAACAATAAAAAAACTTTTAGAAACTGCAATGTACAAACATTTTATTTTAAATGTTCATATTAATGGCATTGAAGCCCATGTATTTTAGTCTTAAAGAAATACTGAGAGAATCTCACACTGACACCTGTCTAATCCCTAACAAGAAAATCAACAAAAAAGGTGAAATAATCTGAAACTATTACTAGTTTTAATGTTCATAAATCCACACCCCAAAAAATGTATTTAAAAAAATTCATGGTGTATGATAAATAATCCTTGCTGATTTATTCCAGATTAAAGCAATTCCATCCTTCCATACATTGTTCCTTTGATCAGTAAAGAGAGACCAGGCACTCGATCTTCATAGTATTATTAAACATTTCCTTCCCACTAGGAGTCATTGGATCAAACTTGTAAACAGCCGAGGGGCACGAGCATCTTAACAGCTACCACTCAAGATGATAAGCTCCTGTTGCGGATGTGCAGAAGCAGAAAAAATACACATCTCATACTTACAGAGCAAAAAAAAAAAGTATATAAAAATGAACATTTTGTAGTTAAAACTTGAAATTCAAACAAATGTTTAAATGCTGATGTTTAAATAAAGAAATTAAATGAAGAAATTTCCTAAGAATTCAGAATATTCACAACCAAGTCCTACTGCAAGATCTGCATGATGTAAAGTATGTTAATAACATGCATCAAAGCACTTCTACCCAAATTTAAAATCGAAATATATACACAATTTATTGATTCATAAAAAAGAAATATTTACTAAAACATATACAAAAATAATGAAACAACATTTTTGGTGTGAGATTTAGTGTACCAGATGGCCTTGTTTTTACAGAAGGCTAAACCATTGAAATCTACCTACTGATGCCTACAGAGACATTATATTGAATAAAATAGACTAAAAGAGTCTAGTGTTTCTAAAAGTTGAGGAAAAATAAGTATTTATTGAAAGTAGTTTACTTATTAAAAGATAGACTAGTTCTTATTTGGCTTGTTTGAAAACATTTTAACAAGAAATTAGAATGCTCTAAATTCCTGTTTTGACTTTTAAAGCATTTAATGAGGCCACATAAGGACTAAAATAGTATTCAATAATCACTAAACACATTACATTTCACTACAAGCTACAAAGGTGTTGGTATTTTTCTGTTTAAGCAACTAGAGCATCTAATCAGCAGTCAACCATTTAAAATGTGTTCATTACCAGGATGGTTAAACATAGACCTTAAAGTAGTGTGTATATTTCATAAAAATCCAGCTGGTGCTTAGCTCTGCAAGCTAAAAGGGGAAACAAGGGAGTTTGGTTAGAGTAGATGTTGGCTCCTTCCTTTCAGCGGCTACAGATGGGAGAGAGAGAAGGGCTTTGTCAGCAAACTTGGACCGGTTACTTTGTGCACAAAATAAAAATTCATGTCTACTGTCTACACTAACCATAAAGATGTCTCCTGCCCCACAAGTTATTTGTATTAAAATCAATATAAGATGAGCTGCATCATGTTTTCTCCTAAATTTCACTCTAAAAAGCACAAAACCAAACAGAAAACTGATCTATTTAATTTATCTAATCTGGACAAAGCCTCTATAAAACAAAGTAGGGGTGAAGATCAGCAGAAATAATCAGTTGTGGTCTTTGATTATGATTTGATTCATAAATCTGTTTTCCAAAATCAGGAAGATTGTCTCCTGACCCACCCTCTGAGTTTGACTGAGACTTTAAAATGTATTTACCTAGAAACACACACGTGCAGGAAGCTGGTGCTGTGCTAAAATACATTTTATCTGAAATTAGAAGAACAACGATAATCATATTTTTCCTGACTAGAAGATAAAGTGATATAAAGAGGTTTTATATAATTCAGTTTAGAGGATTAGGGTCAACTTCAGTTTCTCCTCACTTAAATCTTCAGTCTGATTCTCATTTTTTATTGTCATTGATTCTCATTATTACACATAATAGTCTGTCAAGAATGCTTTCCATATCAGGTATGATTTTTAACCCCCTAGCACTGGATCAACTCATCAAAAAGAAGCAGTGTCTGTAGATCCAGTAAAAACAACTCAATGAAGTTCAAACTGATGATTAATCATTAAATGGAGTATAGAGACTCTAAAAAAGGCCTTTAGTTGACAGAGCGACCCATTTAGAGCAGCATTTATACCAAGATTGTAAAAAATATATAAACATTTAGCATTTAAGATAAAAGAAAACAAAAATGCGACATTCAATATGCTCTATCCAGAACTCCTCTAGTGGAAAAGTTTTTGTTTCACCTGGTTTAATAAAAAAAAAAAAATTCTTCTCTAAAGAATCTTTGGCTATATAATTATTAATCGATTCATCAAAAAAATAAACAGATTTATCGATTAGCAAAATAATGGTTAGTTGAGCACTAGTTGTTGGTGCCAGATGCTGGTCTGCACTCATTCTAAACTGAAGACCAATTGTTATTTTCTTGTGCACCCCCATCTTTGCAGAGAATGCCCCTAGAAAAAGAGAAATATCCAGTGAGCAGCAGTTTTGTGGATGGAAATGCCTGGATGATGTGAAGGCGGGAGGATTGGGTTTTGATGACAGATAAGGGAACAGATGTTCAAACAACCATGCATTGCAACAAAGGAGTGTGGGACAGTACCATCTATGAGGGTACAGCATATTGAACCTTGAACCAGATGGGCTTTAACGGCAGAATAATCCATCAGTGACTAATTCTTTGAGCTAAAGACAGGAAACTGAAGCAGAGTTGGCCAGTTTGCAATGCCAGTCCCAGTTTGTAAAAGGTTTTCCTGTTTCAATTAGTCAGATGTTGGGGTTAGAATAAGGTGCAAGCATCAACAAACAAGGAATCAATCCTACCTTGTATTATTTTCTCTTTACCCCCTTATGGCTTGTTAGTCAAATTCAAGCCGTTGTTCTCACTGGAAAAAATAGAAATCTAGATAAGTCATTTTTTTCTTAAAATAAGTGGATTTTTTCTTGAATTGAGAAGGAAAGTGAGACACTTTGTCAATGGAACAAGACAATTTACATTTAAAATAAGAAAAAAAAATTGCATTGTCTTTTTTTAAGGGCTTATTATCTAATTATCGAATTTTAAGAGTAAAAATACTCATTCTATTGGCAGATCATGTTATTTAACTACTCAAATTAAAGGCAAATAAACTTAATTGAAATGTTGACTTAATTCTAGATCGTTTTTGTAGTGCTGTCAGATCAGCATACCAGACGTCAGATTTGCGTTTATCCCTTTAGTTTTGTATGAAAAATACACTTTAAACTACCTCGACGGGCGTCTATCACTTTAGTCATGTACAAAAAAAAAAACAATATAAGGTCAGATCACCATACGCTTCAAAAAAGTTAGTTATTAAATAGTTTTTTTGTACATAACTAAAGGGATACAC